CTGATAGAATAGAATAGAATAGAATAGAATAGAATAGAATAGAATAATTTATTGGCCAAGTGTGATTGGACACACAAGGAATTTGTCTTTGGTGCATATGCTCTCAGGGGATATAAAAAGACCAGATACATTTGTCAAGAACCATAAGGTACAACACTTAATGATAGTCATAGGGTACAAATAAGCAATCAGGAAACAATATCAATATAAATCATAAGGATACAAGCCACAAAGTTACAGTCCTGCAGTCATAAGTGGAGGAGATGGGTGATAGTTCTCTTGGTGTGCAGTGCTCTATAGCGTCGTTTTGAGGGTAGGAGTTGAAACAATTTATGTACAGGATGCGAGGGGTCTGTAAATATTTTCATGGCCCTATTTTTGACTCTTTTATCCTTGGATGAAAAGGGAAACATCTTCAAAGAAAAACCAAAAAGTTCAGTTGCCTCTTAAAGTGGGGGGCAAGCACCTTTGGGGTAACCATGACCTGGATGACTGAGAATCTCCATATATACTTAGGGGATACTGTTTTTATCTGATACTTTATCCTTTAAGGACATCAAAGTTTATCTTTCAAAGATAAACTCTAATCTTTAACAAACAAAATAACCAGAATTCAATTTCAAGGGAGTCTTAGCTCAAATTAAGATTTGTGGAAGAGTAAACCTCTGGTCCTGGTGACCAACCTAGATTTGGTCTTGTAAGATTTATAATATTTTCATTCACATTAGCTATAGCTTCAAGATGATTGCATGATGACAGTATCCTATAGTACCCACAATAATTAAGGAAAACAATACAGGAAGCTTAGGAACTAAAATATATATATATATGATTCATATAGTTTAGTTGCCCATCTCAAAATTGAGTCAGGCATTTAACAATAATAATAATTGAAATTCTGAAGAAAAGAAACCCAACAAATAATTTGTTTACGCTCTTGATTTTTTTTTCTTCAGTAGCCTTCGGTCATTTTTTTTCAGGATCAATTCTCTAATCCCTCCATTTCTTGTTCTGCTGTTCTTTTATCAGAGTTGCTCATCAAATATTCTAAATTCAAAATAGCTTTGATTGCCTACTACAGCACGTATATGAATCATGACTAGAACTTCATGCTGAGGCAATTATGCCTCATAACATCAGATGCTGATGAACAAAAACAGAGCAATTGCATCATTGCCATTTTGTATATTTCCCAAGGCATCTGTCTGACAGACCATGGCTGGAAACAGGATACTACTATATTATGATTACAATATTTTTTTTTAAAAAATCCCAATCCTCCTCCTGTGCAATCATACCTCTATCGAATTGTTAAACTAATTTTGCCACTTTTCCGTTGGGCCTCGAGTGCATTTAAATTTGTCAAAAGGGGCAGATGAGGTTATGTGATGTCACTTGAGAATGGGCAAAGGATGGAAGTTAGGGGCCTATTTATGATATAAAATATGCATTGGATCTATTGGAGGATTAATTTTATTGCATTTCCTGCTGGAATTGGCAGGAAATTTTATTATTTGGTAATTTGGCAGCATGATATTGGAAAGCTCCAAGAGCTGAAAATATGAGGACCTAAGGCCTCTGAAAATTCAAATATTGTATTGTTCTTGATTACTGAACAGTACACTATAGGAAATTGCCATTATGCAATGGCTTTGAAGCCATATCTATTGCAAATGAAGCAGCATAGTTTTAATGTTCCTCAAAACACCAATTTATTAGAAGAGCTATGTTAGCACATCTGGGAAAATCCAAATCTGAAAGCTTCTAGGTTTTCCCCACCCAGTTGAAAGTTCAAAACCCTGCCCCAACACCTGCAAGTCTATCAGTTACTGCCGTGGATGAAGATTCCTCCCATCCACATCCATTCAGGTGCAAGGGATAAGACGACCTTGACTTTCTGAGAAGGAATGTTATTATGGCTACACATCTCCCAAGCTCCCTACCATCCCCCCTCTCAGTTTCCCATAGTAACTAAGTTTGAATATGTGGCAGGCTTGAGGCCCTATCCCCCGATGGCTTCTAAGCCTGACGATACACACAAACACAGTATAGACACACACATATCCATATAATGTTTATCTTTTTTTTCTTTCCCTTGGAAGGTTGCATTCAGATAATGATAAAGTATTTCTTCCTCACAGTATTTGAGAATCATGATGAATTTGATGAACTAAACTACGCTTATAGACATAATTTTTATTATTTTATTTTATATTTTTATATTTCATTTTTAAAGTTTATTCACTGCTGAGCATGATATATCTGGTATAATTATTTTGACAAAATAATTCCAAAACTACAAGAATTTTAACTTATATGACATAGGTCTTTGAAGTTAGACTTTTTGAATACCACATTTCAATGATTTTTTTAAAATATTGTTTAGCTTTGTATCCTATACACTATAATGTTTGTATCAACTAGAAAACAGATTTCTGTACCCAAGTACAATATTATGGCTTTTTAAATATTACTTTTGGTATGAAATAATCTTCTGACGGTCAGTCTGTTAAATGGAGTAATGGACTTTCATCCCATGAAGTGATCCACCAAAAGTTATGGTGCATTAAACAGAAGATTATAGAAGTTTTAATAACTGGATAGTATAACTATAATAAATCTTCAAGTTAATTTTCCTCCTGAATTATGAATACATCCATATAATTATTTTGGTAACAGTTCCAAAGTAGGTTACTGCCATTGCTAACAGAGGAAAACTAGTGACCCTCTCTGAAAAGCTTTGTTTTAAGAAACCTGTCCAAATGTGAAATTTTTCTTTCCAGGACTTTTAGCCTGATTGTTCTTCTCCGGGACAAAAAAGCATTGTTCCTTTTCATTGTTTCTTCCTTTGTTGTCAGGTGCAAAATACCAGGTCCATGCATGCACTGTAGGTTCAATAGCTGATTTCTTGCTAAAAACCTATGCATGGGAATCTTCTCAACTAACAATCAGCATCTGGTTAGTTATATAAGGGTCAATAGCACTGCGAGGAGAGGGTTGGGCTTAGTTCACTTGTGGCTACATAGGGATTCTAGGCTGATTCCTTTTTTCACTTTGCCCCCAAGTTCTACCATACTGTTTCTTACATTTGTTATCTTGTTAAAAGATAAGAATATTAGGAGATTTAGTTGCTTTAGCTATTTCTGTTCTGCCTCTTTTTTTATATTAGACTAAAAAATCAACTTGCTCAGCTACTATCAAAATTCTTAATTTCCCAAGAGTACTGTACTCTTGTAAGTATTCAAGGAACATCTTTAAAGATATTGCATCATTATTTGCCAATGAAGTCGTAATCATCATCCAGGTGATGCCTACAAATAACTTACTTTTTCCCTTGGAAATTGCTAGATTAATTGGTTCTCCAGCTGTTTCCTAGTAGCAAAACATTGTAGTTTGACTGCTGGGAAAATACAAAGTTCCTTTAACAGAAATGTCTTGGATGAAGATGCTCAGAGTTGTGTTGTGACCATTTCAAATAATTTCATAAAAATAGTCAAGATAACATGCTATATTTATCTCATTCATATCTGATCCAGCTTTTACCATAACCTGAAGCCAAGCTTCCTATACTTCAGTAATTGACAAATTTTGAGATAGAAAATTATCTGAGTAATACTAGAAAACAGTTTAACTTTTTTCTTTCGTTTGAAGTGAGCAGCATGGAGATTGTCTATGTTTATTTGAAGAAGCGCAGTGAATTTGGTCGACAATGCAGCTTTTCCGATCGGGCAGCAGAGATCAGTGTGGACATTCAGCCAGATCCAGCGTTAGCAACAAATTTTATTGAAAAAGATCCCATTGATACTGGAGTACAATGTGCTGGTGACATGTCAGAACATGAGGTAAATTGCTTGATCTTGAATGAGTAATTTTTCCAATTCCCTTTTTTTTTTGTCTCAAAATCCAGGGCTAATCTCATCTACATAATTTGTATAAGCAAGAAATATAAGGTTATTATTCATCCATGCATGTAAAATTGATTGATTATATCCTATCGAGTTGTTTTCAATTCCTAGTGACCACGTAGATAGATTTTCTCCATGTAAAAAAGTGATCTTTATGCACTGTAAACTCTGCCGACAGTACAATGTGAGTTCTTGTTGTTATTGTTTTAAGCAATAGGATTATTCAAAGGATAGGACCAGAAAATTCGAATCCTTTATTAGCCTTCTTAATAAATAGTAACATTTTGCAACATTATCATCCAGAAATATGTGTTTTTCCATCCACCTTCCATCTGATATAAATGTGGAGATAATTTAATGCCATTGATCAACCCTATCTAGGCACTTCATAGATATGATGGTTTTCCATAATTTCCAGATATTGTAGACTAAATGTAGGATGAGATTGTAAGAGTGGTGTTCCACATATGTAGAAGTGTCCATTTGGGGAAACAGTTTTCATCTAGAAGCACTTTTCCAGGAAGAATGGGAACGATATAATATCTAGACTGGAATTCAATGATAATGAAGCCATGTAGCTACCCTCAAAAACAGCACCTTCATAAATTCTTCCTCCCTCAAGTAATTGTTACCGTAAGTGTTGTGGCTATTATTCCTATAGGAAACGGCCTGTGAAGATGAGAAAGATACTCCATTTGAGAACGTTTGAAACTATAGAAAAGAGAAAAGATGAGAAAGTTAAGGATATACTTGCCCTGCTGGATTTTGCTACCTATATGATCATTAAGAATATCTTTTAACCCAGAAAATGGTCAAAATACTTTCAAGATATGTAGCTTATTCTAACACAGAACTGAGAAGAATTCCATTTGTTGAATTTATCTGCCATACTGTATATGAACAGACTCCCATAATATAGACATTATTTATTTATTATCCGACTTGATTATTTTTATAAGTAACTCAAGGTACTATACTCCTTTTTTCTCTATAGCTTGAACAAAAGCAATCACATAAGATTTCATTGCTTTTATATTTTCTCTTCTAGTATTAATAGTTAAGCACAATCATTGTATACTGTCCATCTATAACAGAAAAAATAGAGAAGCAAGTTCAAGGTTTACTTTCATACCGTGAAGTTTTATGCAGTCATAGAAAAGATTAAATCCAATCAAAGGTGTTATTTTCAGTCCTTACCGTGTAAATTCTTACAGCTGACTATGGTTTCATGACATTTAAAGATGAGAGGAATTGTTGTGTTGTCCTTTATTCCATTTTCAAATGTACGTAGTGTAGGACTTTAGTGCATTATAAAACTACTAAAATCTGAGAAGTGAGATGATTCTAGTCTGTTCATAGAACTAACCAGCTCATTGATACTGTACACAAAAACACAGAGAGAGGAACACAAATAAAATTCCTCTTAAGAGCATATAGTACATGTTCACTTGGAGGAACTGACTATTTGTTTTCCACATTAGATTCCTTTCATTCATATAGCTGTCCATAGCCATGTACATCACATATCTCTGGAGAGAACCCCTAGTTCTGAAGCCGAATACATACTAGGCATTTATATACGTTGTGCTAGAACTTATTAAAGAATTTCAGACAGGAAATGAAATAATTTTTATTTGACACACTCCATGCTAAACCCTCTGTGAACACTTTCCGGGCATTATTTTGGAAAGTCTGGTTCCAAAAATAAACAGCCATTTCTGGGTACAAACCTGCCTATAGAATATTAGTTTGTACAAAATAGTTAAGTATAAAGTAAGATGAAAGGTAGTTTTGATCATCATTGATAAACATGTTTTTATATTTTTGCAATGTGCTGTATGGTTGCATCTAATATTTTCACATACTTCATAATTCATTCTTTATACACTGCTGTTCCTTCTCCACGTATGATGCATGGAAAATCCAATGAGCCATCAAGATGTTCCACTTGTGCTGCAACATTTATAACAATCACTGTAAAGCTTTGCTGTATGTGTATACTTCAAAAAGCAAGCAAAAATACTGGAGATATGCAATATGTTAGTGGTGTTAACTAACATAATTTATAATAGTTTTAGATCTGAAGCTTTTCATGATGAAATATAAAAACAACTCCAATAGCTTTGACTTTCTTCCATTTTAGGTTAACACAGAAAGGTTTGAAATGGAAACCCGAGGTATTAATCACTTGGAAGGTGGCTGGCCTAAAGATGTCAACCCACTAGAAATGGAACAGACCATTCGTTTCCGGAAAAAAGTGGAAAAGGATGAGAATTATATTAATGTCATTACACAGCTTGGCACTGTAAGCATCTTTGATTCCATTTAGTTATGTATTGCTCTGTTTAAAAAAAACCTTGAATATTGCCTTTTTTATTTTATCTTCTTTTCCATCTTTGTTCCTGTTACATTTACCAAATAATTACGGCCATCCATAGATTGATTCTGTTGCTTTATTAAAATAGTTGATGGATCACTGCATCAAACAGAACAATGCCATCAATATCTACGAGGAATATTTTGAGGAGGAGGAGACAGCAGCAGTTACCGATGAGGCACCATCAGCAAAAACTGTTAATCTTTTCAGGTAACGGCTAAAAACATGTTTTCAAATTTTGCTTTAATCCCATCAGAGAAGCTGTTGCTAGAATGATTGTTATAGTTGTTGATATCATGAAAAAAGCAGCAGACTGTTGTTCTAATATGGTTAGTGGACATTGATCATACTAAATTATCTAGAGAGACTCTTTGTAGAATGCGAGTTACTTCAAATTGTTAGTTTTCTGAAATGCCATGCCATAAGGATATGTGAGTTGGAAATCCTTTTTACTAGCAAATAATTCAGAATAACCAAGGAAGATAAAAAATGGCATACTAAAAAACTGATTCTTCATTTATCCTTCTTCCAACTTTTGATATAGAACTAAATAGAACAATAGATACAAACTCAAGGTAAACCGCTCCAAACTTGATTGAAGAAAATGTGACTTCAGCAACAGAGTGGTCAATGCCTGGAATGCACTATCCGACTCTGTTGTTACATCCCCAAATCACCATAACTTTGACCTTAAATTGTCTAGTGTGGACTTCACCACTTTCCTAAGAGGTCTGTAGGGGGCGTGCATAAGCGCACCAGCGTGCCTACCGTCCCTGCCCTATTGTCCCCATTTATTTGTACCCATTTCCTGTGTTCATGTCCATGTTTATACTTATACCTGTTATCTTGTACTTATTTGACAAACTAAATAAATAAAATAAAATAAATAAAGTTGAAGAATCTCTGCTATTTCTTTTAAAAGGTTAGAGCCCCATGCTAATCTACTGTAACCAAAAAGTGACCCTATACAGATGAACAAACAGTAGCACAAGCATTTGGGAGGTCAATTTTTATAGATGCATGGAGCTCTCACAGTCTGATTTATTTATAGATACAAACAGACAGCAGAATGTATGAGGGATGGAGAAAATTGTGAACAGTGAGAGATAAACCTTCCCTCAAGCTGAGCTTACTTCCTGGTGGCTGCATGAATTAATCCATGTCGTTCTCTTAGCAACGATATAGACCATCTACTGCCTTCTTCCATGTTTTTTTTTCAATTTCCCAGTCCAGCTGGGCATTCCTGGTGATTCATCCTCCGAATACTACTAGATCTGACCCAAGTTAGCTTTTCTGGGTCAGTCAAGATCAGCTAGTTGCTGCCACCCAGATGGATTATGAATGAGGCCAGAAGAAAATGAAATATAGAAAGAACAGATAGTAGCATATTAAATAGATAGTTTAATAGTGATAATCAATAAAAGCACATTGATCACACACATTTTAGAAAAATAATAGCTTACTGGTCAAATTGCCTAGGTATTACCTCCAAGTAGGAGAGGCCATATTTTTTAATATTGGTTGCAAAAGAAAATGAGGGTACAAGGTACTTCTTGCTTTAGAACTTCATGTTGACATTTGGTTGCCAGTAGTGGGAGCATGTATCCAGTTACAGTCTTGTATTGAAATGAAAGACTAATTGACACATGCAGTGGGATAACTCTGCATTATTTTAATTTAGCTCTTAGAATGCAGAGCTGAAGCTTTTGGACAATTGTACTTCAGCTGTTCTATCCTTAAACTATGATTCAGTTGTTTTGCACTATAATCTCCTAAGGAAAGTTCCCTTGTTCAAGATAATTATATTAAACTCCATTCGTAATGTTTTCTCTTACTGCTTTTTGAAAATTTCCATTTTGGCACCTATTTGTGCTAATTTATTGCAATAGAAAATCTCATATATATTTATTCAATGTAGACTACCTAAAAGAGTTGTTGGCAGCATATAGAAAATATCAAAAAGAATACATCAATATTCTTATGTTATATGGCAGCATGCTATGTTCAAGTCCTGTGGTCTTAAAGTAATTAAATAATTTCTTTTCAGGGTAAGAATTTATAGGCATTTGGGACTTTTAAAAGGACATTTTAATGTATTTTTCCCCACTGAATGTACTCCTGGTTTTTTTTTTAAAACATGATCTGCTACAACAGATGTATATGAAACACATTTCCCAGAGAAATGTCACAGTACAATTTATCTTACCAAATGAATGCATCTTCAGTGTGTATTTTTTGGGCTTTTGTATCAAAGGGACCCGAACCCAATTAAAAGAACTGCCACTCACCTCTCTTGGCACCCTGACCGAAGCCGGAAGTTGGCTGTGGCTTATTCCAACCTTGAGTTCCAACGGAGTTCAAAAGATATGTCCTATGACTCATATATATGGGACCTTGGTAAGTGGTGAAAACACTGCAGTTATGATTTGTATACAGTATTTTAAAAAATTATACAGCTTTTTTATTTTATTTTATTTTAAATTTACTGAGCCATTCCTTCACTACCAGCGGTGGTGGGATTCAAATTTTTTTGCTACTGATTCTCTGGGCGTGGCTTGGTGGACGTGGCATGGCCTGGTGGGCATGGCAAGGGAAGGATACTGTAAAATCTCCATTCCCTCCCCACTCCAGGGGAAGGTTACTGCAAAATCTCCATTCTCTCCTGATCAGCTGGGACCCGGGAGGCAGAGAATAGATGGGGGCAGGCCAAACAGAGGTGGTATTTACCAGTTCTACGAACTACTCAAAATTTCCGCTATCGGCTCTCCAGAACTGGTCAGAACCTGCTGAGTAGTACCTCTGGCTACCAGGAATGAATACTGTCTTCTTGTTATGGTCACCCTACCTGGTGTGAAGAAAGCGGACAGGGGGAAATATTTCTTTGTAACCAATGCTCCAAAAAGCAATAGAAGAGGCAAGGAGGGATTGGATCACTTTATCCCTCTTTCACAGCTCCATTGGGAGAAGGCAGTTTTTTAACAGTCCTGTTAGAGGCTGATATCCCAATTTCCATATTGGATACTTCTTTTGCTTGTACAGAAATGCATGCTACTTCTCAACCAGCTATTGATTTTATGGCTGTATATACAGATAATCCTTGATTTACAACCATTTGTTTAGTGACCATCTAATAACACTGAAAAAGGTACTTATGGTCATTTTTCACACTTATTGTATGACCGCTGCAGCATCCCTATGGTCTAGCATGTATTTATATTGGTTGCAGTGTCCTGTTTTGTGACAGGCAAAGTCAATCTCCATCCCATCATGTTGGAGATACCATTTGAGGTGCTTCTGGGTTGAAAAGATTAGCTGGTGACATCACTGTTTTCTGGGGGATGCCAGTGAGGGCTCCTTTCATGTCCCCATCAAGGAGCGGGAGCAAGTGACAGGAGCTTACCACGCCACACAGCACCATTTGGGTCTCCATCACAAGCTTGGTAACCTCCTAATCCTTACCACGTGAACCACCACACTCCTAGCAAAGTCAATGGGGAAGCCAGATTCACTTAACAATTATGTTACTAACTTAACAACTATAGTGATTCGCTTAAGGAATGTGGCAAGAAAAGTCATAAAATGGGGGCAAAAGTCACCTGCCTTGCTTAGCAACAGAAATGTTGGACTCAATCGTAGTTGTAAGTCGAGGACTACCTGTACTGTAAAAACTCATCTAATAAGCTATGCAAACCAGTCTCACCCTTTCTTTTCTGCCTTTTGAAGTACATTCATTTTTCAGATGACTTTTCCCTATTTTCTTGTGCAAGCAGACTGGGGAACAGAGGTGATTGTCTATAACACCTAGGAAGGAAAGATGAAATGTGAGAAGAGGAAGTTAAAATAGATACTTTATCCCCCATTTCATGATAATTGGAAACGTAGAGGCAACTATGCTATGCTTGTTTCTTTTTTTTCATATATCTATCTTTTTTCTCTCTTTAATTAGAAGTCCCCAATAAACCAGATATGGTTATCCAGCCTGCTTCGCCTCTGGTTTGCTTAGAGTACAACCCCAAAGATTCACATATCCTAATTGGAGGATGTTACAATGGACAGGTAGTCCTCGACTTACAACTACGATTGAGTCCAACATTTCTGTTGCTAAGCAAGGCAGGTGACTTTTGCCCCCATTTTATGACTTTTCTTGCCACATTCCTTAAGCGAATCACTATAGTTGTTAAGTTAGTAACATAATTGTT